GACCCTAGAGAACAGGGTAGAAGTAACTGCTCCTGTGGGTTTCCAAAACTATAACCCTTTCTCGAAGTAGAAAGCCTCATCTTTCTGCCAAGAAGCAGCTGGTAACTTCAAACTGTTAAACTCACTGTGCAGCCAGGGCTCCTGCTTCTAAGTAACCAAAAACAAAGAAAAGAGAAAGAGGAGGTGTTTTTAACTAAAAGAGAAGGTGGATGGCACACTTTAAATGAAAGGAATTCAGAGGGCAATGTGGAAGAGATCCCAAAGAGGAAGACAGATGGCAGGAAGGCTGAGAGACCAAAAACGAGGCTACTGAACATACCCTAGGAATTAGTTACGACTGGCTATAAGAGGGAGAGACTCTTAGAGCATGCTTTATTGCTCAGTTATAAGCAATAAGACTGTGAGGCTGGATAAAGGAAAGGCAAAGAAAAACCTAAATTTCTTCAGCTTGGGGGACTGGATGAATGGTGACAGAGGATTAAGGAGGCAGAGCAAATATGGAAGAAAGGATCATGAGTACAGAGCTGACCATGCTAAGTATGACAGGTCTCTAGGAGAGGCAAATGAATAGATTCAAAAGATAAATGGAAATATGCTGCTGAAACTAGAGATGCCAGCATCCTGAGGCTGGAGACATGGGAAATGGAAAAGATCATCATGAAGAGGGAGACCAAGGAAAAGATTCATTATAGACCCGGAGAGGTTCAACATTAAACACCCACCCACACCAAAAAAAAGGCGAAGAAGAACCAGAAGGAAATATCAGATTATCAGCCCAGGAGACACACTGAAAGTGGTTGATGAAGACGAAAAGAAGCTTATGACCCAACAAGGACTTAAGCCACGAGGAAAACAAACAAACAAAACACCTCACTGCCATCGAGTCGATGCTGACTCACAGTGACCCCCAGTGGGTTTCCAAGACTATCACTGTTTGGGGGAGTAGAAAGCTCAGTCCTCCTTTGGGGTTGGCTGGTGGTTTCGAACTGCTAACCATGCAGATCGTACCACAACAGATAACCACTACACCACCAGGGCTCCCTAGGCCACGAGGGAAGAATGCTCAAAATTAGCCCCTAATTTTTTTTAATCTGATATTATGTGAGACTGTCCTTTCTCTGATCTAATAGCTCCTTCAACCAAAGTTTCTATCTTATTTCCATTTGTTCCCATGAATAATAATGATATTGACTTCAACTTGACTCAGCCCTAAAAACTACTAGTAAGTTCTTTGCAATTCAACAGAGGTGATACTATTATTTTAAAATGATGTTAGTACCTGTAACAAATTTAGACCTAAAGCAATTTAAATTTTTCTCTAATCCTGCATAAACCATTGGTGAAAACCTTGTCAAAAATTTTTTTGAAATCAGCTTTATGAAAGATAATTTATACATTATAAAAGTAACTGATTGAAAGTGAACAATTAAGAGTTTTGACAACTGTGTAAGGCCCGCGTTGGGACTGCAGAGGGTTTATGTCGTTTGGAAGATAACTGAAGCCTTAAAACAACAGCTAGTTTTAGAAATGACATTTATCAGGTCTAAAGTGGGGGAAGGCTCTGCTAAAAGGTAAAAGTCTTTTCAAATTCAGAAATAGATTCACTTAATTAGTGCCTGATAATGTGGCAGGTTGAATAGAAAGAAACAAAGGAATTTAAAAATTGGAATAATTATGAGATAAATGGAATGCAAGAACTTAAAAAAAACTCATTAATAATGTTGATGAAAGATCTTGTCACTTAAGAAACTTTTAGATAAAGCTTTAAAGAGAAAATCCTGTGACCTTGAGCTCGAGAAGCTTTTTAAAGAGGTACAAAAATATGAACGAGAAAAGAAAGAAAACTCTTGGATCTCATCAGTTAAAATGCTATTCTTTAAATGATACTTGTTTAAAAACTGAAAAAGCAAGCTACTGGTTGGGGAAAAAAAATTTTGCCAAACATACTCTGATAAAAGACTTTTATTCACACTCTATTAGGATTCTTATAACTCAGCAGTAAGAAGACAGCTCAACTTTAAAAATGGTTCAAGAAAAGACACTTCATCAAGAAGTTATCTAATAGTCAATAAGCATATGAGTTGGGAAATGTAAATTAAAGCCCCAGTGATATATAAAAATATCAACTACATAAAAACCTAAAGAGATCAAGCATGCCGAGTGTTGTTAAGGACGGGGAGTTACTGGCACTCTCAGTCACTGATGGTGGGCATGCAGAATGGCGTGGCTGTTTTAGAACAGTTTCTTGTAAGTTAAATATACCTTAACATACGACCCGACAATCTTTCTCTCAGATCTCTACCTGAGAAAGGAAACATGTGTCTATTCATAGCAGCTGTCTCCGTAATGTCCCTAACTGGAGAGAACACAAACGGTCTATCAGCTGGTAAATAAATAGTCGTCTGTCCATATAATAGCAGCATATGCATACCCAGAAAAGCAGAGTACGAACTACTGCTTTTCACCTCCGGCTGCTTGAGCGTCCTCCACTATCATGAATGACACAGTAACTACCCAGACCAGGATAGTTCGTGACCAACCAGCTACTTCAGCAAAAACAAATGGTCACTGATGTCCTTCACCCCGGGAAAGCGACAGTGCCCAAGACAGAAATTCATGAAAAAATAGCCAAAGTGTACAAGACCACACCAGATGTATTTGTATTTGGAACCCATTTAGATGGTGGAAAGACTACTGGCTTCGGCATGATTTATGATTCTTTGGATTATGCAAAGAAAACTAACCTAAACACAGACTTACAAGACATGCCTGCATGAGAAGAAAAAGGCCTCAAGAAAACAATGCAAGAACGGAAGACCAGAATGGGGCTGCAAAGGCAAGAAGACAGAATGAAGATTCCACAGTGACTTGATCTGCGCTGGCTATGTGGGGTTTTCACCAGAGAATTAATAAACTATACAATCTTTTAAAAAGAGTACAATCTGCTGATGCACACAGGCACATGTGTGACTATACAAAGTACTCTGCTAGGCGAAAAATGCTAAAAGGCAACCGTCATGGCGGCACAAGACAGTGGATGTCAGAGGGCTGGGAAGGATTAGCTGCAAAGCAGCACAAGGAAAACACTGAGACTACGGTGTTTTATGTCATGATTACATTTTATTGCACATACAGTATATACAGTTGTCAACACTCTTAAGTGTGTACTTTAAATTGATTACTTTCAGCATATATAAATTATACCTCGTATAATGACTGGCAAAGTCAGCCTATTTTTCTTGATTCAATTTTAATTCTATGGCATCATTCTCTTTAAAACAAGCCAGAATATTCAGACTCAAAATTAGATGAATATGTATGTAGCACAGCTTAGTTTCAACTATCACCCAGAATAAACTTTTTCGCCATTCTCCTAACAGTTCCCAGAAAAAAGGCGGGGGGAGGCGGGGGGGATTCAAAATAAAATGGGGAGAACAAGAAGTGGCAACTCATCATTATTCATTTATAACCTCATGAACTCTTGCAGAGAAAAATAAAATAGCAAACTGTCATAGCTCTATCCCCGTTCACATTCTTTACACCGAATCAAGAGATCAGCTTCCATTTAAGGAGCCCTGGTAGCATAGTGAAGGCTGCTATCCACAAGGTCAGCAGTTTGAAACCTCCATTTACTCCATGGGAGAAAGATGAGGCTTTCTATCCCATAAAGTTAGTTTCAGAAATCCACAGGGTCAATTAAGAGTCAGAATCCACTCCATGGCAGTGAGAGGGGGTGGAGGGGGTGGTGGTGGGGTGGTGGTGGTGGTGGTGGTGTGTGTGTATTTGATGCCGATGGTGTTTTCTATATTCAAAATGGATTCTACAGGGCCCATGACCCACAGGTTTAGGAAATGGGCCTGTCTTCCTGTACTATAGCCACATCAAGTGTGACCTGGGAGACCACAGAGATACCCCGGCCAAGTTTGCTCTCTTCTCTGGATGCTGCATCTGGCTCAGCATTATCTGCCCTATGGTTCTTAGGACTTGAGTCAGTGGCTTATCACTCAACTTGATTTGTCAGCTTCCTCGCCCTTATGAGTCAGCAGTCTGCTGCCTCACCTGCCAATTTGCCTTCTTCAGACTGCAACCACAGAGTTCAGAGAAGCCTCCAGACTGATCTGGAACTAAGGATCTTGAACATATCACTTTTCACCAGCACTTGTGTCGCTTCCATCACAGTTTGTGAGTTCTGTAACGCATTGCAGTGAATTATGGAACCTTGAGACAGGAGGGGAAAGCCTGAGGGGAGTTGGTCTCAGAGGTGACATGGTACAGTTATTTGGAGAAATTTGGAGACTTGGGAAGTCTTTACTCTCTACTTCACAGGGGCCAGCTGTGTGCTGATCCTTCGAAAAGAAGTTATTTGTGCAGCTGTGTATGATAATAAGTACAAAATCACTCTGCACTATATTTGCAATTTTCTCACATTATATATTTATTTATTTATTTTAATTGTGTATAGTTTCCCACTTCACATTCTCACGCCCCCTTTCAGGTTTTGATCAGACCTCCCCAGTCACTCCGCCAATTCGGGTTATGCTGGGCCAAAGTGGTGTTTCAAGCCCTCTCAGCACCTTTCTACAACCACTTATGCAGCCCAGCTGGCTTCCTTTCCACCATGACATAAAAACTAGACCCCCTTGTAAGGCGTCAATTGTTTTCTCTTCCTGTGGTTCTCAACCTGTGGTCCTGAGCCCTTTGGGGATCAATGGACCCTTTCACAGGGGTCGCCTAAGACCATCAGAAAACATATAAATATTTCACAATATATAATTACATATTTTTGTGATTCATCACTATGGTTTAATTATGTTCAATTTGTAACAATGAAAATACATCATGCGTATCAGATATTTACATTACGATTCATAACAGTAGCAAAATTAGTTATGAAGTAGCAACAAAAATAATTTTATGGTTGGGGGTCACCACAACATGAGGAACTGTCTTAAAGGGTCGCGGCATTCAGAAGGTTAACAACCACTATCTTAATAGCTTACCATCTACATCAGAGAGAGATGAATTCTCCAAAGCAGACAGGGAGGACTTACAAAATCCCCTGGGCTGGATCTCCAGAAAACAGCAAAGAGGCGCACTACAAGAAAAAGTAGGTTATACATGATTAGATAGAGGAGCCCCGGTGGCACAATGGTATACACTTGGCTGATAGCCAAAAGACCTGCAGTGCAGGCTCGCCCACAGCTCCTCCGAGGACTTCAGCCTAGGAACTGCTAGGAGGCAGTTCCACCCTGTCATATAGGGCTGCTATGAGACCGAATCAACTCAGCAGCACATAACAATAACAACACATGATTCGATTGCCTTTTCCTGACTTCTAGCCATAAAACAGGGAACCCTGATGAGGGAGAGAGATGAGGCTTCCTACTCCCACAGGGAGGTAGTCTCAGAAACCCACAGGGGCAGTTCTCCTCTGTCCTACAGGGTCGACGCATGTCAGAATAGACTCGAAGGCAGTGAGTGAGTGAGTGTCTGGGTGTCTGGTGGTGTAGCGGGGTTACATGTTAAGCTGCAGTTTGAAACCAGCAGCTGCTCCGTGGGAGGAGGATGACGCTTTCTACTCCTATAAAGACTTAGTCTTGGAAACAAACCCACAGGGGCAGTCCTACTGTCTTACGGGATTACTAGGAATCAGAATGGACGTGAGGACAGTGAAGCTGATTTTGCTTTGTTTTCCAGTAACCACAAAATATGATTAATAGAAAATACGAGTAACAGACAGTAACTATTAGCCTGTCAACACCAACAGGATATCTGCACTAAAATGAATGGTTCCGTTATAAATTCTGACAAATCCAATGCAAGCTTCCTCAACTGTGAAGATAGCACTATTTCGTTAAAAAACAAAAACAAAACGTATGGTACTGGTAAATTTAGAGTTAAGTGACAAAACATGACTTTTTCATTTCTAAGGTAATCTACCTGAATACTAATCACTTTCTTTTTTAAAACATATCTTATAAAATAGGATTCAAGAATCCTACCAGGAAAATATAACCATGGCAACATACATCACACTAGGAGCTCCAACACACACACACACATGTGCACACAAATAGATGAACTACAATAACATTCAACGACCTCAAGTTTGAAACGATAATACAAAAGAGTATTAGTGAAGGCTAAGTATATATTGTCCTAACAAAGAAAGTTCAGTGAAATTTATACCTAAACTAGTTAATAGCTAATGTCATTTAAAATGTAAAATGATAGACTAGACTCCTTTAAACTCTGGTCTTTTATATGGTCCGATGATGATAGGATTAAATAGTTATTACACAACAGGACTCTGACCTAGTCCATGTCTGGAAATATGAAAAGGTAAAATAACTCTTCTAAAATATCACTTCAAATTGCCTATAATTTACTATATCACCAAAGCGCCCTGTTGGCATAGTGGGAAAAAGTTGGGCTGCTAATCGCAAGGTCAGCAATTCAAAATCACCAAAGATGAGGCTTTCTGCTCCCATCAAGATCGACAGCCTCAGACACGCACAGGGGCAACGCTCCTATCCCACGGGGTCACAGTGCAGAAGGTTTTCAGCAGTTACTTCCTCCAAAGTGGGCAGGCAGCCGATTCCTTCTTCGTTCTTGGTCTAGGATCTCCACTGAAACCTGTTCACTTTGAATGACTCTGGTAGCATTTCAAACATCGGTGACACAACGTCTAGCATTACAGCAACACACAAGTCACCAAGTACAACAAACTGACAAACAACTCCATGGCACAGTAGGATTGGGGTTGGGGTTATTTTGTTTTGGACTATACCACTTACTGTAATCTATATAAGAGTATCAAGCATATTGCCCAAGACAGCAACCAAACTCAAGCTCACTGTCATTGGGTCAATTCTGACTCTTAGTGACCCTATAGGACAAGGACGAAGTGCCCCTGTTGGTTTCTGAGACCATAACTCAATGGTAGTCAAAGCCTCATCTTTCTCAAGCAGAGCAGCTGATGGTTTCAAACTGCCGAGCCCACAGTTAACAGCCCAATGTGTAACCCACTCTGCCACCAGGGCTCCTTCTTAGGGGAGGGCAGTCCCCCATAAGTGCATGCTGAATGAATGCCCTCGCAGTTGTAATCTGCCTCGAGGGTAACCTAACAAACCAATTACTAAGGCCTTAGGAGCAAAGCATGCTGTATCTATATCATGCTAATACATTTAAGCAGCAGACAAGTTGATTAAAAAAAATAATTAGCAGCAACTAATGTTTGCAGAAGGAGTCACGGTGATGTGATGGTTAAGCACTCAGCTACCAACTAAAATGTCAGTGGTTGTAGCACAACAGTGGCCCTGTGGGGAAAAAATGGCCGGCGACCTGCTCCCATGGAGATTACAAACCCGGAAACCTCCTGGGGCAGTTCCCCTCAGTCCTTATGGGTTGCCAGCATCCAGACTGATATAACAGCATGGAACAAACATAACATTTGTAGAAAAACAGAAGTTACGTATCATATGGGTCATACAAAACAAAAGCTTAAAAACTGGAGTTTGAAAAGAGAGGAAAATATCCCCGAGGGTTTTTGGGTTTGTTAGGCTTTTTTTTTTTTTTTTGGTCTCTTTGATGGCTACAAAGAGAACTCTACCAACAATTTTTTCTTTTTTAAAAAATTTTCCTAGCACTTTCTCAAGACAAAATACAAGATAGTCACTGAGGAATCTTTCATTAGGCATAACAACTTAATCAAGAAATTAACTATTCACACAAATTAATAAATTAGACCAATCACCAAATGGAATGAAGCCCATATCCAATTATGTGTGCTCAGATTGTGGGTCAAATGCCTTTAGCAAGTTTCTCATTGAGACTGCAGAAAAGTACAAAACAACCCTCTGTACTGCTGAGAAGGTCGAAAACCATTTCTTGTTCTCACAAGTATGTACCCCAAAGTAATTCCTTTCTACTCCCACCCCCTCAAAGCCCTCCGACCTTCTTCTCCAGTCGACTCCCATCAAAGAATGACAGAATAGGAGTTCTTTCATCTAAGGCTCCAAGGCCTTCCGATACAATAAAACAACCAAAACAAAAAGCAAAAACTTCACTGCCATCCAATTTATGCTGACTCGTAGCAACCTCCTGTGGGTTTCCAAGGCTGTAACTGTGGAGAGCTGTCTTTTTTCCACAGAGCTGCTGGTGGTTTCAAACTGCTGACCATGCCAATCACAGCCTAATGCATAACCACTGTGCCACCAGGGCTCCTTTAATAAAAAGACAATGCAACAAAATAGCTCTTTCTAAATATGTCCACATCTTTAACTGTGTTCCTACACTGATTGAATTCTCTATCCAGAATGACCATTCCAGAGAGTGGGAAAATTCTAAGAATACAAATTACAAAATGACCTGTTTAATGTATTATCCTATTGTGATTCCAAAAATCCGGGACACACTCTATCAGAAGGGTGTCTTTCTGTCAGCACCTTAATTTAAATGCAAAATCACTATTTCATTGTGAGCAATTCTTCCCTTATGTAAATCAGTCACAAAATGCTTTAAAAAACAAACCAAAAAAAACCAAGTTTACTTAAAAACAAAACATACAACAAAAACAACTTGCCCAATCACTAAAAGGGTTGAAAGTTCTACATATCAAAAAAACCTTCACACACACACAAAAAAACTTCACCCAAAAAACTTTCACTGCTAGTTCTCCCTGGCATGACAGGACAGGCTGCCCTGAAATGATTAGGATCTCCATCCAAGTACTATCAAATATGGTAGAAGCCACATACAGCACTTGTAGATGCTTCATTAAGAACGCGGCTTCAACATTAAAAATTCAAAGCCTAGAAGAGTCAGATATGTGAACTACAAAGTTATGGAAATGCACAAATGCCTACAAGACAAAGGGAAGTACACAGAAAATTGTGTGCAAGAAATCACCCTGCAATTGAGCTCTGAGAAGCCAAAGACCTTAGTGAAGTTTTTGAGGTTATGAACACATTCACACTTCAAATTAAAGCAACTCTATTAAAACATAACTGTCAGCATGACATTCTACTACACCACATACTCTGTGTCGGAAGGCATGCAATATACATAAAACGTGTGAGGTTCACTTTGTGGCAGGCATTCTTATGTAGCTTTCACATCATAACCCACCTAGGCCTGCTATCACAGTGGTGAGTCAAAGGCCATGATTATTTTTCTCCATTTTACAGATGAAAAAACAAACAAAAAAGGCCCAGATAAATGAATTCACCCAAATAGCACACAGCGACGAAGAAAAAGGGCAGGGAGTTTAACCTAGTCATCTAGCTCCCCAAGACTGGCGCAAATCAACAACAATGGTGAGGCTGGCACAGGACTGGGCAGTGCTTCATTCTGCTCACTGAGTTGGAACAGACTTGACAACAGTCTGGCTCTGTTGGTCTGGTCTGTAAGTGAATGGCTAAGCAAAAGGTATAGTGCAGCGGTTCTCAATCTGTGGGTCAAAACCCCTTTGGGGGTCAACTGACCCTTTCACAGGGGTGCCCAATTCAGAACAGTAGCAAAATTACAATTATGAGGTAGCAACGAAAATAGTTTTATGGTGGAGGGGTCACCACAACATGAGGAACTGTGTGAAAGGGTCACAGCATGAGGAAGGTTGAGAACCTCTGGTATAGCAGATGAAAGGCCTGGCAGTCTACTTCTAAGAGATCAGTCTTACAAACTCGATCGCAGCACTCTACTCTGCACACATGTGGCGCGTCTGACAGCACCTAGCAATACAAGTCTGGCCCCTAGTTCATGTTGACCCAGGATGCTGTTTCATAGGAAGGGGTATGCATGCATTGGTCATCTTTTTAAAAATCTGATAGCTATTTTGGATTCCAAGGATGGCACAGTGCAGTGAGTACTGGCACCTGCTCTCAACAACCCCTCAAAAGACTCTGAATAAGGTCTGAGTCTCAGCTTCCCTTAAGTAGAATGAGGGTACTTACCTCACTCAATTACTGTGAAGGTCAACGGACGCAACATAAAAGTGTAAAGTGCAGTATCCAGGGAAGGGTTCTAAACCTGAGGTTCACAGACTCCTAGAGGTCCACAGACGGGGCCACGACTTCAGAATCCACAACTCTCAAAGCTGTCAGGCAAATTGTGCGTGTGGTCATTTTTAAAAGAGTCATCCTTGGCTTTCTGCAAACTTTCAGGGGGTACGTGAGCCCCAAAAAGTTAAGAACCGAACCATCGAGTGCAATGTAAGCAACTCGCCCGTTTCCTTAAAGAAGATGCACAAGTCTTCCCAATAAAAGCAATCATTTTATCACTCTCCTCCCCACCCCCGGCCTGATAACTAGTAAAATCTACAAGCTTATGCTCCCAATTTTCTAGCGATTGTCTCAAACGGGCTTCCTCCTCCTCGTCACCGCGACGCACACACTGCATCACCTCGGCAAGACCTGCTCTGGATGCACGGAGGCCGGGACAACCGAGGAGAAACTACAGTGGGCCGTCGAGGCTTGACGCCTCGCTGCTGCAGGCTCCGAAAAATGTGTCTCCCCAAACTCCGAGGCGATCCAAGACCTCACCCCCACCACCCTTGCCCTTTCCCTGAACTGAGGGACAAGTCTTCCCGGCTCCGGCCCGGGCTGGAGAAGAGAAACGTTACCCGGTCCGGGGGTTCGAAGCGCGGCGCAGTCCCAGCCCTGCCGCCCTCGGCGGCGGCGGCACCGAGCGGGGGCTCGGCACCCGTCAGAAACCGGCTCGGGGTTGCCGTTCCCAAAGTGTCTTCCGCTTCCGGGCTCCCTCCTGCCGGAAGTTGCGTGAGGTGACGTCAAAGGCTCGCGCCGGCACTGATTGCGGAAGCGAGAAGAGAAGTGTGGCTTGAAGATGGTGAGAGGAGGGTCCGAAAGGGAGATTCGGAGACTACTTTGTGTCAGAGCTCGAAAGGGAGTCGGTCATTGACCAAGTTCCCTTCACGCTCCCCTTGCATATTTCCATTCCGAGCTTAGTTTAAAAACTAATGGTGTCTGCGACGCTGCTACTGAGGGGAGAGGGCTGGGTCCGGACAGGGCGGTCACCAGGGGGCTGGGATTTTTGAGGAAAGAATGAGCAAGAGACCGAAGGGGGGGGTGGGGGGCGGAGAATCCATTCATTCCCAACCTGTTTAACTCTGATTTCTCTTTCAAGGGGAAGCAAAAGAAAACAAGGAAATATGCGACCATGAAGCGAATGCTTAGTCTCAGAGATCAGAGGCTGTGAGTGTCTGAAATCAATTGGGTCAGAGAGGAGTCACGGGATCAGTAATAAAAATGTATTACTGTGCCTTGAGTTACTTTGTCACGGGACAGTGGGTAGAAATATAACAGTCACCTTGCTGGTGAATGAGTTATACTAGGGAAGTGAATACAATTGAACCATTCACGTTGTTCCTTGGTTATTATACGATTTTGCAGTAATGCCTTGCAGCAGTTTTGTGAAATATGTAGAATTCCCTTTATCATCTTACCGTTGCAGTCCCCAGAAAAGATCGTTGTCATTGTTGAAAGGTGTAGTCGGAGACCACGTTTGTCTCATGTCTCCACCACCTGACTCTCAAAACAAATTTTGAAAGAGAATGGAACTCCCAAATATCTCCATCTTAAAAATTGCTTCAGAATCCAAATCACTGTGGGAGAAGAAAGATTATATTCCCTATTATAATGAGCACCTAAACATTCTTATTTGAGAGAATAGAGGACAAAGTTATTGATGAGAACTGCCCTTTATTGTGTTTAAGTGACTCAAAACAAGAGAATGGTCACTGGAGTTATTAAATAGGATTCTCCGCCTTTACTAATGAGTTTATTGTGTGATTTTTAGGACAGCATCTTACTGTTTTTTTCTTCCTAGTTAAAGTTTATATAATATGTGTGCCATTACATTTTAGTCCTTTATAAGAGGCATATTGGAAACCCCCTTTTTTCTACTTTTGTTAAAACACCTGAGTCTGCAGAAGACTGCACACTAAGTTGGAGTCGATTTTGATCCTTGATTTGATAGCTTCTGACTAAAAAATAAATTATATTATGACCAACACTTATTTACCCATTTTAGTTTTTAGGGATTATTGACTAGGGATTTAAATTTTTTATTATGTTTTTTATTAATTATATTTCAAGGCCACCTCCCATTTCATCTATTTGTCCTCAGAGTATAATCTGATATTAACATAAAGAAATGACAACATTCGATTTCTTCCATAGACAAAAGAGAGAAAGAAACTTGACTTTGAGTGAGATTATAACTGCTAATTTGTTTTGTTTTTCTCTTCTCCCTTGGATCTCATTTACATTTTCTTCCTAGTAAAGAAAAAGACAGATTAAAACCTAAAAAGAAAGAAAAGAAAGATCCCAGCGCACTCAAAGAAAGAGAAGTGTGAGTAATAGAATTTCATGTTTTACTTTCAAACTAGAAGAGTCATTGAAAGACTGTACACCTCTTAGAAATCGAGACTTTCTATAAATTGATTGGCTTAGTCATTTGCAAGACTGACACAAGTATGCACATAAGAGTAGTATCAATGAGCCTATCCCCACTCCAGTCATTTGAAAGTTTTTGGACTTCATAGGGCAGTACAATGTCCTCTGAAATCCTGGGGTAATCAGCTAGGTTTTTTCAGTTGTGGCTTTTTAAAATTAATGATATGTTTTCAAAATAAAAATCATGCCTTTTAAATAAATAATTTAACTTAATGAGAACCTTGCCACATTTTCCTTATTCTTGCCATTTTTCACTGATTGCAGGTGGCTGTATCACAGGTGGACACTGTTTGATGCGCTAGCATATGTACTACCGCTATATTCAGAGGAGACAGCTTGGGCTTTTGCATAAAAACAAGCCCTGATACAGTGTATAAGCCTAACACGGAACACCTGTTCTCCTATATCACATTTCATAGAGCCACATTAGAATCCTGTGAGAACAACAGACTATACTATCATTTTAATCATGGGAGCTATATTCAACTTTACTATGCTCACGGCTACTCTGCTCATGCTAGAGGAAGAGGTGGGTCGGCTAGTTGGATGTATAAGTTATAGTGAACTAGGTTAGTGGGCCTGCAATTGAGATGCCTTGTTAGTTTCTTGCTTTACTTTTTAGGATTTATTTCAAGTGACCAAAGAAAGGGAAGTTTAATCTATAGCAAACTGCCCTAAGTGGAAATTTCTCTTTGTTGTTGTTGATACCAAAATATCTATGTCAACATTATTTTGTGTCCTTTTTCTTTTTCCTTCAGGCCCCAACACCCTTCCTGCTTGTTCTTCCAATATAACACACAGCTGGGCCCGCCTTACCACATCCTAGTTGATACCAACTTTATCAACTTCTCCATCAAAGCCAAACTGGACCTAGTACAGTCAATGATGGACTGCCTGTATGCCAAGTGTGAGTGGCATGCTTTCATATTAGTGACATTTGTACAGGAGGGGTAATTGTGTTCCAAATACATGGAGAGAGAGGGGGGGAGTGAGATTCAAGTTCATGGAGCTGTAGGCCATTTAATCTGCTACTCACCAAAGCAATGACCAGCTTCGATGAACTGAAAAATAATGGAAATTTATTGAGACTAATTAAACTTCCACAATTCTGAAAACTCTTAGAATGCTTTTGCCTTCCTGTGGGCATTCGATTTAATATGAGAGGGGAATTTTTTCAAAATCTTTATTTTAAATTCGGAGTTAGTAAATATTCCTATTTTTTCAATAGATATACTTTTTTAAATTAAGGAGGAAACATTCCTTATTCTATTCCAATGCAGAAGTACTAAATAAGACAGTTTTTCACTTAAAATTACAATACTAGTAGTTAGATGGTCACCCATGAGTCCTAAATGTATGTGTTTTGGTGTTATTAGTACAAAGGAATTGAAGTAGTTTATTTAAGCTTAGGTATGCATTTCTTCAGTCATAGATTCTCCTCATGTATTTAGGTCTCTCTTCTTTCATATGTTCTTACCATGAGCAAGAAAAAGTAAATTTAGGCCAACTTCCTAGTAGATCTGTTAGATTTTGTGCTGCATTTATGGTCATGTAATTTCCAGTTACCTCATAAAACAAATATGGAAATTTGACTTATGCTCCACTGTAAAAACTAAATTACTGACATCAAAAGGAAAAAAAATGTTCTTCCTTCCTCCATGTTTAAAGGATATTATAAAATGAATAATGTATTGAGTGGTAGTAATGTAGATGTTTATTAGTTTACTAAAACTAGCAAGACAAGATGGGGGTGAGGGTTCCTTATCAGGATGTGAAGGCAACCCACGGTGAGCAGACAGCTGATGGAGTAAAAGGATCCAGAAGAATGGGGTGGGGAGAGTCAGGGAACAGAGTGGGGTTTTCACCCCCACCCACCCAGGCCTTGTTGAACTTCTTGTTAAGTTATGTGCATGTAGTACCTTAATTTTTTTTACAAATTATTTTGGAAAGACTAGAGAATAATATGAAGTTTGGGGTCCTATTGTCCCTCGAACAGTGGGCTTTCACTAGCCCTAGACATGGCAAGGTCTTTGTATTCCCTGTGATGTTTCTTACAGTTGTCTGAACTACTTCTCCAGAAATGCTATGGCATATTTATAAATGAAATTTACGGAGGACTCAGCCACGGCCCCATGGAGATGAATTGTCTCTTTGACTATAGATCTATCACTAATATGTAGATGGTAATTGTTTAGGATAGTGTTGGCCATATAGTTAAGCTTTCATAGGTCTGAGTCCCTTAGAGTATAGCTCTAGTGCATTGCTCACCCACTGTGCCTTTTCTAAAAATAAGATACATTGATAATTTATTGACAATAAATTGAATGCAATAGAATGCAAAAGTTGGGAACAAAGAGAAAAGGGCACTATTTGTAAAATAAGGCCTTGGTAATAGAAACGAAGCTCCAGATAACATGATAGAATTTTACAGGACCAGGAGCTTCATTGCAAATGCCTTTTTTTACCAACATAAGTGGAATGGTACACATGGACTACCAGACAGAATACACAAGAATCAAATTAACCACAACTGTGCAGAGAGACAATGGAGAAGTTTGCAATTAGCAGCCAAAATGAGACCAGAGGCCGACGATGGAACAGTCCATCAACTGCTCATATGAAGCTGAAGAAAATTAAAACAGTCCCATGAGAGCCAAAATACAACCTGAGTATATCCCACCTGAATTTAGAGATTATCTTCATCATATTTGACACATTGAAGCCTAATGACAGGTGACTGATGAGCTAGGAAATACCACCAAGAACATCATTCTTGAAGAAAACAAAAAGTCAACCCCCACTGGCTGTTCTGAAAAACCATCTTTGCATTGTTCCCGGGTCCCACTTGCTGCAGCTACCTCCACTGCATGACTTCTCCACCACCATGGACTCCAACAGTTCTCTCACCAGAGTCCCCAAACCTGTGCTTTCTCTGTAATCCACTGCATAGGCTCACCAGGGTGCCCCACCACTCTGGTGCTGCCAGGACACCAGTTCTGAGGTTATCACCAAGCACTTAAAGGAGAAGGAGGTTGTGGAAGAGATGCACCAGCTAATGGAAATGCTAACAAAGAATGTAAGGCAAAGGAGGCTGACAACAAGGTAGATGAAGAAGGAGAGGGAGAGCTGCTACCAAGGGCTCAAGTAGAAAGCAGATGTTTTGAGCATGATGATGGCAACAAGTGTACAAATGTGCTTGACACGATGGATGGATGGATTGTGGTAAGAGTTGTACGAGCCCTCAATAAAATGATTTTTTTTTAAAAGGAGAGGGAGGAAGAAGATGAGGTGTAGAAGAGGCAGTTACAGGCAAACGGGCAGCTGAAGATGATGAGAATAATGTTACCACCAAGAAGCAGAAGAGCAACAAGGATGACTGGACAGCAAAAGAAGAAAACAAAAGCAAACCAAACTCATTGCCCTCCAGTCAATTCTGACTCGTAGTGACTGCAGGACAGGATAGAACTGCCCCTGTGAGTCGCCAAGACTAACTCTTTACAGGAGTAAAAAGTCTTTCTCCCGAGGAGCAGCTAGTGGTTTCGAACTGCTGTCCTTGCAGTTAGCAGCTCGACTCGTAACCACTACACCACCAGGGCTCCCATCAAATGAGGAAACTTAAACTTGTTTGTTTTTCTTAAGGTCACCATTAACCATTTACCTTTTACTTCCTATCTCAGAACCAAAACGTGGTCACCTTCAAGTAGAATTCCTCCCACCCATTTGAGGCAGTGCCACCACAGATGACTACACTCACCACACCCCCAACCCCAAACCCTGTTGAACTTGCAACAGAGCCTAAACTTCTACAACCCTGCTTTTTTTCTCAAACGTACTTTTAAGATGGGAAAATTTGTATACTTTCAATGAACATTTTCTACTTTTGTACATATAGTTAGAGCTCAGCCATTTTAAATTATCTCAGATGACAAAACGAGCCTTTGGAGCAGTCTGTGTCCTACTTCTGACTTTACCTGTGGTGTGACCATGTTCAGTATAATACCCAGGAAACCTAATAAACTTGTGATAAAAACAGAACAACAACCCCAGTATTATTTCTTTGTGTATGTACTTAGCTGTACTATAAGTAGTGTTTTGTATGGGATGGTTAAAAAAGTCAAAAGATAAAAGGGTTTTTTCCCTTTTTTTTTTTTGTCTATGAAGTTGCTTTTATTTTATTTTGGCCTGTTTGTATGAAATAATATTGTTCAACAACAAAAACATTTTATTTTGCTGAGTTCTAAGAACAACCAAAAAAAATAGATCATTAAAAAAAAAACAAGAAAGAAAAAAGCTAAAGCAAGAATAATGAAATAAAAGGGCTAAATAGAACATTTCACGGGCTGCTTAAGAAGGCAAACTAAAATACTGTAATGAAATGTGAACACCAAAAGGAAAACATGGTCAGCATTTCTCAAGTTGAAAGAACTGGGGGAAAGACAGGCTTGCAGTTGTAATATTGAAAGATTCTGTGGGCAAAATATTGAATGATGAAGACAGTGTCAAGAGATGATGGAAGAAATACACAGTCTCTGTATCATAAGAATTGGTCAGTATTCATTGTTTAACCATTTCAATGAGTATGCAGCAAAAGATCAAGAATCAAGAAGGACTAAATCCAAGCTGCTCTGGAGGCATTAGCAAAAACAAGAAATTCCAGGAATTGGTGGAATACCAATTGAAATGTTTCAGCAAGCTGAGGAAGCACTGGAAGCATCACGTGTCTATACCAAGAAATTTGTAAGACAGCCAGCCACCTGGCCAACTGACTAAAAGATTTCCATATTTGTGCCCATTCCAAAGAAAGGTGACCCAACAAAATACAGAAATTATCAAACAATATGCAAGTACAATTTTGCTGAAGATCATTCAAAAACAGTTGCAGCAACACATCAACAGAGAGTTGCCAGAAATTCAAGCTCGATTCAGCAGACGTGGAACGTCCATGAACTATCAAGGCTTTTATTTGATAGCCATCAAGCAGGAATTTTTCACTCATATGTGATCAAATTGACTGTCCTGCCCTCTGCTTTTCTAGTTCCTTGCATTGTTTTCTTTGTTTCACATTTTAATCCTTGGAAGAGAAGGTTGTAGCTGGGTCTGCAGAAGTAGAATGTGTGATTTGAACTCCCTTGTTACCTAGACACTTTCTTAGAAGCCCTGGTTTCATAGTGGTTAGGGATTGGCTGCCTATCACAAGGTCAGTAATTTGAAACCACCAGCTGCTCCACAGGAGAAAGATGAGGCTTTCCATCCCGTAAAGAGTTACAGTCTCAGAAATGGACAGGAAATGTTCTATGCCTTGTAGGGTCACCATGAGTCAGAATTAACTCGAAAGCAGTGATTGAGACACTTTGTTTACCTGGGCACAAGTTTAAAATTTAAGTGGAACTACCAGATACTGGTATTTCATAATATCTGCTCAACCTGAAACTTCATCTGGAGCCCACGTTTCAATTCGTCACTTTCAAACCATTTTCTACATGATCTGAGAAGTTCTCTACTCAAGGGTCAAGTTTATGGTCATTCAGTGACAACCCTCTTCAAATACTGGTGACCTCACTCTGCCCTGTTCGTGCCCCCCTGCCGTGCAAGCCAGATCCCTTCATGGCTGGTTTATTTCACATGCAGACTATAAAAATGGACACTCATAAATGGAATGCTTTCTCTCTTCATGGTCTTCTTCCAGATTAAGGGCAGAGTGTTGGAAGGGCCCTCTGCTCTGTCTGACGTACTCTGTCGAGACTAGGGGGCATGGGTGCACATTCGCTCTCTGAATGCTGTTTTGTATGGCAGATTGTGTTTGGAGCCTGTGTGTGGGGCTGGGACATGGCTCCGGATCCTTTAGAGAGTTTTCTTTAGTTCTTAACTGTTCATCTCAGTACATTTCATTGTGCTTACTCTGCTGTCATTCCAGAAGTTTCCTGAGTCACTGAAAGCTTCCAAGTAACCTAATTTAGAGAGAATAGAACAATATTCTTTGCAAGTTCTGTTGCTAATGTATATTTTTCGGTCAGGTATTCCTTGTATAACTGACTGTGTCATGGCTGAAATTGAGAAGTTAGGACAGAAGTATCGAGTGGCACTAAGGTAAGGAGGAGCTATTTTAAATTTGTTCTAAACTGATTTACTGGAGATTCCTTTAACCCTCCTGCATGTTTACCAGTCAAAGGCTAGTTAAATAAAAATCATATAAAAACTAGTTATCTAGTTATGATCAAGAAAGTATACATTTGATATTCTTCACTACCCTCCTCTGACAGTTAAAAATTTTTTAATGCCAGTTCACATAAACGTGTTCACTTTATTAAACCTTAGGAGTCCTGGCAGTGTAACTCATTGCTAACTACAAGGTCAGCAGTTTGAAACCACCAGCCACTTCAAGGGAGAAAGATGAGGCTTTCCACTCCTGTAAGAGTTACAGACTTGGAAACCTTGGGGCAGTTCTCCCTTGCCTTCTGGGGTCCCTGTGAGTCAAAATCGGCTCCATGGTAGTGAGTTTGGTTTTTTATTAAACCTTGATATGGCGTGCTTATCAGTGCCCTTTGTGATGAAATGGGAAGTTCACACAAAGCACTTTTGCCCTACCAGAGGGAGGGGGAAGGTTGTCACAAGGAGGTATTTGGGCGCAAGCTTCCTTTTGAAATGAAAGACCGTTTTATGTGACTGCAGACTTTGGTGTTTGCCTGATTTGTCCTCAGAGATCAAGGAGGTAACCTGCCACTTTAGGGAAACCAACTGACTGCATTGGTTGCCCAGGGTAAAGTTCCAGTTTCTAAGCAAATGGAATTTTGGGAAATGTAGATCTATTAACATGAGCTTCTCCTTTTGCTAGTACTTGTGGTCTTTCTGTTGAGATTGGTGGTCATGTGAAAGAGTGAGTGTGATGTCTTTGGATATTATATGATGAGATGTGTCAATATTTGAAACATCTGTATAACTCATTGAAGCAGTATTTTCAAAATGATTCACCCATGAAACTAGAAGATAATGCAGAGTAAACGATCCAGTCAAAGGACAAAATAATAGATCATTTGGTGAGCAGGGGGTAGACCAATGGATTTTTTTTGTGGTTACCTTTATTGAAGTATAAATTGCGTGTTATGACAATCACTAATTTTCTGAATGTAAATGATGAGTTTTGGCAAATGTATAGTCAGGTAGCCAGCATCACAGTCATAAAATAAAGCGTTTTCATCATCACCCAACATTTCTCTTTCCACTTACTTACCCAAGATAATGAAAACATGCCCACACAAATTCAAAGCTGACACCAGCTTTTATTATTCAGAATAACCAAACTGGAAACAACAGAAACTGCCATCAACCAGTGAATGATAAACTGATGTAGCAAAACAGTAGAAAACTCACCGGTAATACTAACTAACGAATACATGCACCATGGGTGGGTCGCTACAGCATTATACTAATAAAGGCCAGACTAAGAGCTCTGGAGTGTGTGATTTATATGACATTCCAGTAAAGGTAGAACCATACTTTTTTGGTCAATCAAATGGGTATGAAATGTTTCATTGGGAATTCAAGAATTATTTCTTTTGTCACTTGTCAAGGGTGGGAAAAGTAGATTAACTTCCAAGGGAACTATTTGTGGTGGTAGAAATGTTTTATGTCAATTATAATGGGAGTTGAATTGTATAAATTTGTCATTGAACACTGTGTGTATACATTTATAGTTAGTGAATTTTGATGTATTTGTAACCTGTGAAATCTATTCGTTTAAGGCAAAGAAACAAACAATAGGAACATAATGTATCAGAGTGATAGCATTGCTTAGATCCATGGGAATGTGATAAAATGTAAAGTTAATTGCTTAATCCTGTGAAAAGGAATAAAATTACACACTAGTCAATTCCCATTAGGGTAAGGAGCCAACATTTCAGTAGAAAATACAAAGGTGGGGGAGCGGGAAGGGAGCGGAAAAATGAGGAGCTGATACCAAGGGCTTAAGTAGAAAGCAAATGTTTTGAGAATGATGAGGGACACAAATGTATAAAAGTACTTGACACAATGGATGTATGTATGGATTGTGATAAGAGTTGTATGAGCCCCCAATAAAATGATTTAAAAATAAAAGACTACAAAGGGGCTTCAAAAATAGATTTTAAAGGTATTAGAATTTTTCTATGAGTTTTTTGTAAGCCGCTTCATATAGAGAATATCCTAAAGATATGGATTTCTGATGAAGGCTAGCTCACACTGGGAAATTTATCAATTTGACTGCTGAAGTTGAATAATTCTATACAAACAAAAGGTACCATAAGCAAAGTGAAAAGAGGAGTCACTGACTGAGATAGTGTTAGTAAGCCGGGTTTACATTTTAAATGTATAAAGGATTTCTACAAAACTGAGAAAAGAAATAATTCTTCAATTCCCAATGAAACATTTCATACCCATTTGATTGACCAAAAAAAGTTTAAGCTTGCTTGACATGCCAAGAATAGGTGAAAGTGGAGCGGTGAGACTGTTCATGCTCAGATGCTAAGGCTGAAAATTGGACAGACACCATGGAGAACAGTGTGGCAATATCGGATAGAACCAAGGTCTATATTCTTTTATTAAATAAATATTAATTGATATTATATCAAAAGAAATTAGAGGTCAGGGAGTAAAAACATGGTCAACAACATTTGATTCATAATAAAAGCTTAAATATATACCATTACTTTCTTTTTATTTTTTGCCGTCAGAGACGTTTTATGGTAGCATTGCTCACCTCAGCCCCACTTGGAGGTCCACGTGGACCCATTACTTTCATAATAAAAAATTTCCCTAAAATTAATCTTTTGAGTGTTTTTTTTATTGTTTTATTTATTTTTTATTGTTTTATTAGGGGCTCATATAACTTATCACAATCCATACATACATCAACTGTGTAAAGCACATCTGTACATTCCTTGCGCTTATCAGTCTCAAAACATTTGCTCTCCACTTAAGCCCCTGGCATCAGGTCCTCATTTTTTCCCCTCCCTCCCCGTTCCCCCCTCTCTCATGAACCCTTGATAAAATTTATAAATTATTATTTTGTTATATCTTGCCCTGTCTGACATCTCCCTTCACCCACTTTTCTGTTGTCCATCCCCCAGGGAGGAGGTCACATGTAGATCCTTGTAATTGGTTCCCCCTTTCCAACCCATCCTCCCTCTACCCTCCCAGTATCACCACTCACACCACTGGTCCTGAAGGAATCATCCGTCCTGGATTCCCTGTGTTTCCAGTTCCTATCTGTACCAGTGCACACCCTCTGGTCTAGCCAGACTTGCAAGGTAGAATTGGGATCGTGACAGTGGTGGGGGAGGAAGCATTTAGGAACTAGAGGAAAATTGTACTTTTCATTGTTGCTACATTGCACCCTGACTGGTTCCTCTCATCTCCGAGACCCTTCTGTAAAGGGATGTCCAGTGGCCTACAAATGGGCTTTGGGTCTCCACTCCGCACTCCCCCCTCATTCACTAGGTCCTGTATATTATTAACAATGCAGTGTCTTTCAAACAGATCACACATAGTCCATTGGATGTGAAAGCAATGTAATGGATCACAACCAGTGTGTTTTTTAATCAGGCAGACTAAACTAAAATGTCAACATACATGTAGGAAAGACTGAGCTGTCTCACAAAGCCTTTTCCACTTTCATATTTTTCTCTGTACATGTTATTTCTATGTAGTGTGTACTTACGTATTTCAGTGCGTGTATTCAGCTATGTGCAAGCTGTGTGTTGTAGACCGGTAAAAAGGAAAGGGACTGCTAGAGAGAAACTCCAATCTATTGGTGAGCACGTCAGAGTTTTCTCATGGCTGTAATAGCAAAAAAAACTACCAGTAGCCAAAAGGTTCATTAGAAAGGAAATGGATACATTGTGTGGAATGTTCTCTGTGAATGTGGAGCAAAACAACACAGGGGCATACTTGGAAGCTAATGTTTATTGAAGTTTTAAAACATGTCAAACAAAACTATTTTATAGATGCGTGCATATATAATCTTACAGAATATGTAAGGAAATGACAAAGATGATTGTTAACTTGTGGGGAAGTCATTGAAGTATTAGGATTGGAGAAAGGGCCTCGTTTTACTTTGTAATGTTTTCTTTCTTTAACTAGATGGTGGTGGTCATCACTCTATATATTTTATACCTGATATACTTTAAAGGGAAAGAAGGGACTGTTGGTCTTTTTGTGTTTCCTCCCAATATTCTCCCCCAACACCATCAGGCAATTGCCTGCCTTCTTCAGCAGTCTCCCATAGCCACTGCCCGGATGTCACATGCATGTGAGTGCATGCCTTGTGTCAGGTGCAACCCTAGGGACTGTTGTTTTTGTTTTTTATCTTCAATCTTTCCGTATTCTGTTAAAGGCAACAGAAGCATATAATAGTATATGCAGTAACAGTATTATGTACAATAATAGTATTGTACAATAATAGTATTGCATGCTCTAATAATACTATTACAGTAATAACAGTAAGCTAGGAGTGGTTACATAGACAGACAAGCTAAAGGGACCATTGTTTTAAACAAAAATATAAAAGAAGTAGAGGGGGAGAAAATAGAGGCACCAAATGGCAGCACCAAGGTTAGCGTTGAAGAGACGTGGAGAAACAGAATGTTAGTCACAGCAGGAGGGGGTTGTCTCCTTCCGCTTTTTAAGATGGGGATGTTGCACGCTGGTGTGTTTCTAGGAAAGGACCCTGAGAGATTCGTGGTTAATGACGTGAGGATGGAGGGATAACCAGAAGGGCAAAGTCCTATACTATTTATTGCTTATGAGGTTCCAGTAACCAGCCTGTTCTCCTTCTAGTGTGTACCCACCACCACAGCCTGTCTGACCTCACCAGTGCACTGCTTTTCTTCGCGCCACTCTGTCACTGGGGAGTTTTTGATGACTCCCCATACCTGGGACACGCAGCTTAGCCTGGTAGACACTCCCAGTCTTTCCCCAACCTCCCTTTCCATCCCAATTCACTCTCCTCCACCACCAACTCTTATCCCAGCCAGAAGGATTTGCTCTGTACCTTTCCGATGTCAGTGAGTTTGGATTTTGGTTGTTTGCTTGCTTGCTTCCCTTTTCCTGAATGTTATCAGTATCGCCACTCTCACCACTGGTCCTGAGGGGTTCATCTGTCCTGGATCCCCTGTTTCCAGTTCCTGTCTGTACCAGTGGATATCTTCTGGTTTAGCGGGGTTTGTAAGGTAAAATTGGGATCATGATAGTGGGGTGGGGGGAGCATTTAAGAACTAGAGGGAAGTTGTATGCTTCATTGTTGCTACACTGCACCCTGACTGACTCATCTCCTCCCCACAAACCTGTAAGGGGATGTCCAGTTGCCTACCGATGGACTTTGGGTCCCCACTCCGCACTCCCCCTCATTCACAATGATAGGATTTTTCTTCATATGATTTTTTGTTCTTTGATGCCTGATACCTGATCCCATCGACACCTCGTGATCACACAGGCTGGTGTGTTTCTTCTATGTGGGCTTTGTTGCTTCTCAGCTAGATGGCCGCTTGTTTACCTTCAAGCCTTTAAGACCCCAGATGCTATATCTTTTGATAGCCTGGCACCCTCAGCTTTCTTCACCACATTTGCTTATGTACCCGCTTTGTCTTCAGAGATCATGTGGGGAATGTGAGCATCAAAGAATGCCAGGTTAATAGAACAAAGTGTTCTTGCATTGAGGGAGGACTTGAGTAGAGGCCCAAGGTCCATCTGCTATCTTAATACTTAACATATAAATGTATGTACTTTTACCTCTATCCCTTTAGTTAAAAATTAATATATGTACATATATGCATGCCTATAGCTATACCTCTAAAAATAGCTTGTACCTCCTACTTCTTTCCTCAATTCCTTTCACCTTCCTCCTCTCCCACCATCATGCTCAGCTTCCATTCAGCTCTCAGTAATTCCTTTTAGATAAATTGCACTTGATCAAACCCCACCAGGCATTATAAGTCCTCCTCATCATCAACTTTAGATCTCTTGTTCCCTGAGTTTGTTGGCTCCCTGCTCCTCTTCTCCGCCCCCTCCTCTCCCATGTCCCCCCAGGACCACCGGTCCCATTGTTTTCTCCTTGGGATTGTTTTTCCTGCTTATCTTATATAGATATAGAGCAAAAGACAAGGAGGTAGGGGGCAAAAATGATCATTAGTTCCAGGTCTGCCTGCTGACCCTTATGAGTATTTTCCAATTGGATCTGATGAGGTGCCAAGTCCTGCCCTCCGAGACTGAAGTCCATTTTCAGAATTCCTCAGGGACTTAGTTACTTTGCTCCCCTTCCTGCCCTATTGCACTCCCTGTTGCGTCCACCCTGCTGTGCATGAGGCAGACTGGACACACTTGGCACACAGTGTCTCCAGTGCTATCCCTGTAGCACTATGGGTCAGTGAGGGAACGTCATGTCTCGTGGTGCGGCCAGCCCTACAGTCCTCTCTGCATTGACTGCTCTGAACAGGGATGTCCCCCAGGCTTGGTGGGCCATCATAAGGCTCTCCCCCGGGCTGTATCTTCACTGCTGTTACTGAGGCTCTCAATCTTGATGGGAACAGATACCCTCATCTTTCTGCTGTAGAGTGACTGGTAGGTGTGAACCACTGACCTCACATTTATCAGTCCAATGCTTACCTGCAGAACCTCCAGAGCTTCCACCTTTTATTCCACTGGAGCAATTTCCGTTCACTCCAGGTTTTCACGATTGTGTGGCCATGCTTATACCTCTCTCTCTTCTTCCACAGTTGTTTAAGACAGCTTCCTAAAAGGGAAGTATTTGGGGTCAACAATGATTTGGTTTTGAATCCTGGCTTTTCCTACCTCTGTGGCTTTAAACATAGTGATTTCTCTGAATCTGCTTCATTATCAGTAAAATGTCAGAGCTTTGTGAAAATTAAATGTCCTAAGGAGTACCAACTATTCACCAGCAAACTGGAATTCCCATCCCTGTAAATTCCCTTCCAAATTAAGAGTATAAACTTCAGGAGGGCAGAGGTGGCTTAACATCTACACATTCATCGTACTGTTTTCATCTCACAGATTGAAGCTCAGAAAAGAGCTTCTTTAATGTACTTGTGTCACATTACAGGATCGCCAAGGACCCAAGATTTGAACGGTTACCATGCACGCACAAAGGAACCTACGCAGATGACTGCTTAGTCCAGAGAGTAACGCAGGTAGCATCAGTTTTCATCAGCTTCACTCTGTGGTGGGGCAAAGAAAATGCTATCCTGAGTATTCACAGTCAGTAATGTGTTTAGTACTCTGAATGCTTTTTGAAAAGAATGTGTGTTTAGCCGAAGACTCTCTTTATAGGAAACATAGGTGTCCTCATTGACTTGAGAAAGTGAGTTGAAAACTTACACTCTTACCATAATGGGGAGCAGACATGGGTTTTCAATCCCTGAGCTATGTCAATCACTCCACTTCCCTCTCAGCCTAAAATATGGTTCCATTTATGACTCCTACAGCCATGAGGTCCCTCTGCACCATGCCTACTCCCAAAAAGTGTTTCTCAGGTGAATCTGAGAGTCTTCTGGGGCTGTTTCACATGGACCCTAAATAAGTAGGGGTTTTCCTTCTTCAGTTTGGCTTCACTGCCAAGAACCACTGCTGATCGCCTCTGTAAGAGTCTTTCTTTGTTGAAGGCTGCTGTTAGCTGCCATCGAGCCTTGGTCCTGTGCCATCCCCGTGATTAGTCTGGGATCAGATTGCAGTGACTGATTTTCAGAAATAGATTGCCAGAGGATTTTCATTGACTGGTTTTTGGAAATAGGGCAGCAGACTTTTCTTCTTAACCTGGAAGTTCTGCTGAAACCTGTTCACCATTACTGCAACACAGAAACTTCCACTGGCAGGTGGGTTATGACTGAGCATAAGGTATACTGGTTGAGAAGCAAAGCCAGGTCTCCCACAGGGAAGGGCAGAATTCAGCCTCTGCACCACCTGCCTCCCTGGTGAAGAAAGTCATTTTCTCTGCATGTTCTTTACTTGGCCTCCATGGGTGGGACAGACATTTCTTTTCATTTCTGGAGATACAGCAGACTCTAGACTGCAAGTTATAATCTCAGCTGGACATTTAGGAATGTTAGAAATAAAGTAAGACACAAAATAGCTTCTTTTTTTTTTAAATATAGTAACTCTAAATATATATAATTAATATTCATTTTTTTATCATTTTATTGGGGGCCTCTTAACAAATCTTATGACAATCCATCATTCAATTGTATTAAGCACACTTGAATATACGTTGCAAAAAATAGCTTCTAATATGTAACTATTATTGTTTTCAGAGTTGCCAAGCTTAAATTTGTCCATGAGGTCCAATTCTGGCTCCAGGCTTAAGCCCCAAAGAAAGGGAAATGCTGCCCTCACCAAGCCAAAGCGCTTACTCTACATTTGCCTAGAGATCTGAGATCCTTCCCCAAACCAAGACATCATTTACCCCAAATGTGCCCCTAGGTCCTTTCAATGGAGAGACAGGAAATAGTTTGCAACCTTCAAATAATTACTTTCTCTGCCTTCTCAAAATTCTTTTTTTTTTTAAATCATTTTATTAGGGGCTCATACAACTCTCTCAAAATTCTTAAGGTTAGATTTAACCCAGGTAACTTGTTATATATATTTCAAATACACAATCTTTGCCTTATGTAGCTACCTGGCACATTGCTCTGTCCTTGCTTCTATCAGTCACTGTCATTCTTGAGACTAGTGGAGTGATTATGTCAAAGATGCTGTCACTAAGGAAACTGTGCTCTAGGTGAACACTCAGTCTATGTCTCTTACAGCACAAGTGTTACATTGTGGCCACAGTTGACCGAGACCTAAAGCGAAGAATCCGGAAGATCCCTGGAGTCCCTATCATGTACATTTCTAACCACAGGTGAGAAACTTCTTTGGGCAAAGTGATTAAAATTATACAGTTGATAGCAATTTAAATGAGGTCAAGTTATAGAAGGACTTAAAACAGATTCGTGTCAAACAGCCAGTTAATAACTAGAATGTGAAATGTGCAAAGTAAGATTCAAGGAAAATTGTAAATTGTCAAAAATGAAATGGAACATGTAATGATTCAAAATCCTAGGCAAAAGTGAGCTGAAATGGATGAGTATTGGCCATTGTGAATTAGGACAATCATATGGCCTTTTACGCTGGGAATGACATATTGAAGAAAAATGGTATTGCTTTCATCATCAGAAAGATAATCAAGATTTATCTCTGAAATTCAATGCTGTGATAGCACACTATCCATAAACCTATAAGGAAGACCAGCTAACACAACTTGTATTCAAATTTATACCAACCACGAATGCCAAAGATGAAGAAATTAAAGATTTTAATAATTTTTGAACTCTGAAATTAATCTAACTTTTTTAAAATCCAGTTATTACTGGTGATTGGAATGTACAAGTTTGAAAATCAAGAACATTCTCTTGTTGGAAAATCTGGCTTTGGTGATAGAAACAATGCCATGACTGTATGGTAGAATGTTGCAACTTTCAGTGTGTATGACTTATTCGTTGCAAACAAAATAAACAGCAGATAGACCCATGGACCTCCCCAGATGGATACGCAAGAATCAATCAACTACATCTGTGGAAAGAGACCATGGAGAAGCTCGGTATTGTCAGTCACTACAAGGCTAGGCACCACTTGTGGAACTAACTGATCGTCAATTGTTCATACACAAATTGAAGTTGAAGAAAATTAAGAAAGTCCACAAGATCCAAAATATGGCCTTGAGTGCATCCCACTGGACTTTAGAGACCATTGTGAAAAATAGATTTCACACATTGAACACTAATGACCAACGACCACAGGATTTTAGAATGACATCAATATCATACCAGGAGAAAGAAAAGTACAATAAAAAGACAAGAGAGAAAGAAAAGACTACAATGGGTGGCAGAAGAGACTCCCAAACTTGCTTTTGATCCTAGAATGGGTAAGTAAAGGCTGAACCGAAGATTTCAATGGGCAACTCAAGGAGACACAGTAAAGTACTATAATGAAATGCGCAATCCCCTGGAATTAAAAAGAAACCCAAGCGAATGAACACAACACACTAGGCAATTTTCAAGATGAAATTACTGAAGAAAAACATTAAAGCCACAAGTTGTTGTTTTGAAGGATCCCTTGGGCAAACTATTGAAAATCACAGGAAGCATACACAGAGTACCAAAAAGAATTGGTCCATGTTCAGCCCTTTCAGAAGGTAGCAAACAGTCAAGAACCAACGGTATTAGAAGAAGAAATGCAAGCTCTGCTGGAGGCTGTGGTGAAAAACAAGTCTCCAGGATTTGGTAGAATACCTACAAACATGCAACACTGGAAGGACTCTTATCACAATCCGTACATCCATCCATTGTGGCAAGCACATTTGTACATTTGTTGCCCTCCCACTTTCAAAACATTTTCTTTCTACGAACTCTTTCTTCTATGCCAGGAATGTTGAAAGACTGCAATCTGGCCAGCCAACTGGAAGAGATTTTTAGTGGTGCACATTACAAAGCCAGGTGATCCAAGAGAATGCAGAAACTTCCAAACAGTGTCATCAGTATCACATACCAGTAAAATTATTCTGAAGATAATTTTTAAAATGTTACAGATGTACATCAACAGTGAACTGCCAGATACTCAAGCCAGATTCAGAAGAGGATAAAATGAGGGGTGTCATTGCTGACATCAGATGGATCTTGACTGGAAGCAGAGAAGACATATCTGTATGTTTTCCTGACTGTGAAAAGGTCTTCAGTGGTGTAGATCATAACACCTTATGGATAACATTGAGAAGGATGAAAAGTCCACAACACTTGACTGTGCTCTTGTGGAAAGTGTCCATCATCCAAGATGCAGATGTTCAAACAAAACAAAGGGGTAGTCCACAGAATCAAAAAGGTGTGTGTCAGGGTTTTTCCTTTCACCATACTAATTCAATCTGTTTGTTGAGCCAATGAATCAAGAAGCTGGACTATAAAAAAAAAAAAGAAGAAGAAGCTGGACTATATGAAGAAGATCACAGCATCAGGATTGGAGCAAGAATTATTAACAACCTATGATACGGAGATGACACAACCTTGCTTGGTGAAAGTCAAGAAGACCGAAGCACTTACCAATGAAGACCAAAGTGTGGATTGCAAGTCAACGTAAAGAGGGTGAAAAAATCCTCACACTTGGACCAGTAATCATCATAATGATAAATTCACTGTAAATTTTTTTAATGTGGCTCAACTAGGCAAAGTGTGACTCCCACCAAGTGTGACTCCCACTGCATGGGTGTGGGAAGAAGGTAGGGGAGGATGTTGATAGGATTCATCTGAGAATAATTACTAACAAGATTCCCTGGAGTGCCTGCCTGCAGTGTATAAAAAGCCCTCTGATCAGCGGGGGTGATTTTATTACCAACAAAATCTAGGAGTGGAAAGCATCTCTGGACCTAAGATCCCTGTGCAGTGCAACTCCTGGATCCAGATGACAGTTAGGTCATCAGAAGAGCAGCAGCAGAACCAGGAGCCAGAGTATGGAACAGAGGGATGAACTCCCCAACCCACCGAGCAAGTGGAATGCTTTTGTGTAGGAGGCTGGCTAGCAGAGTGAGGTGCCTCTGGTACTTAATTAGGGTAGTTGGACTTAACTAACCCAGGGAGGTGAAGCTGAGTGCCTTTGAGCTGAGGAGGCCCTCTGAGCATTTAATTCAGGGAGCTGAGCTTGCTGACTCAAGTTGCTGAAGCTGAATGCCTTTGGGTAGACAGCATTCTGGTATGCCACTCTGGGCTTTTATTAGCAGACCTGAAACTTGGTAACATGTCCTGGTAAACAACTGCCTTGAACATTTCCCACTGGCATTACAACTTTTTTTTAAAAATCATTTTATTAGGGGCTCATACGACTCTTACCACAATCCATACATACATCAATTGTATAAAGCACATTTGTACATTCATTGCCCTCATCATTCTCAAAACATTTGCTCTCCACTTAAGCCCCTGGCATCAGCTCCTCATTTTCCCCCTCCCTCCGTGCTCGCCCCCCCATGAACTCTTCCATAATTTATAAGTTATTATTTTGTCCTGTCTTGCACTGTTCGACATCTCCCTTCACCCACTTTTCTGTTGTCTATCCCCCAGAGAGGAGGTTATATGTAGATCCTTGTAAGCAGTTCCCCCTGTCCAACCCACCCTCCCAGTATCACCACTCGCACCACTGGTCCTGAAGGGATCATCCGCGCTGGATTCCCTGTGTTTCCAGTTCCTATCTGTACCAGTGTACATCCTCTGGTCTAGCCAGATTTGTAAGGTAGAATTGGAATCATGATAGTGGACATGGGGTGGGAGGAAGCATTTAGGAACTAGAGGAAAGTTGTGTGTTTCATCGTTGCTGCATTGTACCCTGACAGGCTCTTCTCCTCCCCTGACCCTTCCCCAAGGGGATGTCCAATTGCCTACAGATGGGCTTTGGGTCTCCAACCCACACGCCCCCTCATTCACAATGATAAAATTTTTTGTTCTGATGATACCTGATCCCTTCGACACCTCGTGATCACACAAGTTAGTGTGCTTCTTCCATGTGGGCTTTGTTGCTTCTGAGCTAGATGTCCACTTGTTTACCTTCAAGCCTTTAACACCCCAGACACTATATCTTTTGATAGCCAGGCACCATCAGCTTTCTTCACCACATTTGCTTATGTACCCACTTTGTCTTCAGCGATCATGTGGGGAATGTGAGTATCAAAGAATGCCAGTTGAATAGAACAAAGTATTCTTGCATTGATAGAGTACTTGAGTGAAGGTTCAATGTCCATCTGCTACCTTAATACTAAACATATATATATATATGCACATAGATCGATTTGCCCATCCTCATATGTAAATATTTTTATGTATGTACTTGCCTTTATTTAAATCTCTATAAATGCCCTTTGCCTCCTAGCTCTTTCCCCTATTTCCTTTTACTTTCCTCTATTTCCTTTTACTTACCTCTTGTCCCGCTATCATGCTCAGTCTTCATTTGGGTTTCAGTAATTCCTCTTGGTTACATTACTCTTGATCACACCCTACCAGGCCTCCTCACCACACCCTACCTACCACACCCTCCTCACCACTGATTTGGATCACTTGTTCCCTTGTCCCTGGGTTTGTTAACACTACTACCTTTCCCCCCACTTCCTCCTCTCCCTTGTCTCCCTGGAACTGTCGGTCCCGTTGTTTCCTCCTCCAGATGTTCTTCCAACCTATCTTATTTAGACAGACCTGTGGAGATAATAACATGCACAAAAACAAGACAGAGCAAAACCAAGCAACAAAATAAAACAAAACAACAACAACAAACCAATGACAAAAAACACAACAAGAAAGAAGAGCTTGTAGTTAGTTCAAGGACTGTTTGTTGATCTTTAGGAGTGTTTTCCAGTCGAGTCTGATGGGGTGGCAAGCCCTGGCGCCAAAGTCTATTTTTTATATTCCCTGGGGACTTCGTTGCTTTGTTCCCCTTGCTGCTCTATTGCACGCCCTTAGTGTTTTGCCTCGGTGTGGTGGAATCAGATTGGGCGGAATTCCCACACTGTGTCTCCAGTGTGGTCCCCTGTAGGACTATGGGTCAGTGAAGAATGTCGTGTCTCCTTGTGAGGCCGGCCATGTGGTCTTCTCTGTGGATAGGCTGCTCTGACTTGGGATGTGCTCCACTCTCTCTTCCTCCCTCTTCATTTGCTCCCATGTGCTTTGATCAGACATGCCCTTCTCCCTGAGCTGCAACTTCAGTGCTGTCCTCTGAAATAGATTCTTCTGCGAGGAGGGGCAGGTGTCCACATAGTTGGGATTGGGGCCGGCCCCTTAGCATTACAACTTCTTAACATCCTTAGTAAATCCTTTAATCATGAGTTTTGTCTGTGAGATCTGTGTAGCCATC